CTCCTGCCCAACAAGCCGGTGCCTCCTCGGCTGGAGCTCTGCTTGATCTGTTTCTCATTCTCTTCTGCCTCCCTTAGGTTCACTCTTGGCCCCTGGTGCTCCGTAGGCCTCCCTCTCACAGCCCTTGTCTCACTCTTTCTCTGTCTCTGACTCTCTCGGTGCCTCTTTCTGTGTTTGTCCTCTCCCTCCCCATCTCTGTCACAGCCTGTCCCTGTCACTTCCTCCCACGTCAGTGTGAAATATCCCTTCCACGCTCACAGCTCTGTCACCTCTCCCTGAACCCTTCCAGCCTGTGTGCACTCACCCTTAGGCCCTGCACCAGGTGTAGACGATGGCCCAGAAGAAGGTGAGGCAGGAGGGGCTCCGACAGGCCTGGTGGGGAGGTTCCAGAGGTGGCAAAGGGAGGATGATGAACTGAGCCTCTGTCCTGCTTAGCAGGAGCCCCAGGAGGCCAGAGGTGCTGGCCTCCAGACCCTCATCCCCAAGGGGCCACATCCGGGAGAAAGTGACCCTGGTGACAGGCAGAGGGTTAGGAGCTCTGACTCTGGATAGGGCTCTGTGGCTGTTCCTCTGTGTGATGTCTCTAATTCCCCCACCCTACCCCTGTCTTTCTCTAAGCTGGGGACACCCAGGGGTCTCTTTTTGGCCTCCCTCAGCTGACAGCAGCCTCCGCCCAGCAGGGGCTCTGGCTTACTTGGCCTGTGACCAAAGCCCCTGCAATTACACTGGCCGGCTCCAGCGACCATGGCCAAGGAGCCCCAGCTGCTGTCCCAAGCCTGAGTAGGGAGTGACAGGGATTTGCCCATGGTCCCACCAGGTGTCGGTGACAGGGCCCAGGTCAGGAGCCAGCTTCAGGACTCAGCCCAAGGCTGAAGGGTGGGGGCCCAGGTGCCAGCTACATCTTTGTCGGTTTGGTTCAGTGCTGAATGCTTTCTGCTAAAACAAGGCCTTCCTTACTCACAGAAGATGCTCAACAGGTATTCATTTCGTGACCCTGAGATGACCTTTAGAATCTCTAGGGGATGGGGCTGGAGTGTGAGCTGAGGGCCAGGATCCAGGCACCTGCTTCTGGCTGTGGGATTCCCACAGGGCTGTGTGAAGAATGTCCTTGCAGGTTCCAGGAAGTCATGGAGTGAGGGGTGGCCAGTGATTGGGGCAGGGGCAAAGCTAGGCTTGGCCAATTTTGCCAAGTGCCCCTTCTGTCTGTCCTCACCTCTTCTCCAGACCTGCCAGCATCTGAAGGTCACATGAACAAAATCCTAGCCGCCGTGCTGCGCCTGGCCAACCTTTATGAACATTCTGTAGTCATTACAAATGGAAGGTTGGCTGCCATGGCTCACGCCTGTAATCCCAGCACTTTGGGAGGCTGAGGTGGGTGGATTAAGAGGTTAGGAGCTCGAGACCAGCCTGGCCAACATAGTGGAACCCCATCTCTACTAAAAATACAAAAAAGTTCGCTGGGTGTTGTGGCGTACGCCTGTAATCCCAGCTACTCAGGAATCTAAGGCAGGAGAATCACTTGGACCTGGGAGGCATGCCACCACACCCAGCTAATTTTTCATAGTTTTTATAGAGAGGGGTTTCACCATCTTGGCCAGACTGGTCGTGAACTCCTGACCTCATGATCCAGCCGCCTCGGCCTCCGAAAGCGCTAGGATTATAGGCGTGAGCCGCTGCACCTGGCCCTTCCTCCCCACCTGTCTTCCTCCCTTTCTTCACATGCAGGATACGCTCTTCATTCTCTCCATCTCGTCCACCACTCCTGCTCCCCCAGGTGCTGTGACCGAAGTGAGGAAGAGCGGGAAGGGCAGGGTAGAGGGGTCTCCCTGCTCTGGCTCTGCAGGGATTCTGATGGGGGATGAGGAGGGCTTGGCAGCATTTCTAAGGCCCCTTCAGCCCGCCCCTTTGCACGATTCCAAGCTCTGTGACATCTAAGGTTCTTACACCCCCAGACGCAGCAATCCCCCCATTTCAGCACCGCAGGAGCCAGCGTGGAGTGAGGGATCAGAGGAGCGGCACGAGGAGGGAGGCAGGTGGGAGGGCTGTGAAAGAGGAACAGGTGGGAGAGGGAAGGTGAGTCAGCCCCGAGCAGAGCTGAGCCAGCAGGAGCCTCCCTGCAGCTGCGGGCTCTCAGCACCCGTGGCCCCCTCCCCCACACTGGCACTGTCCTTTGGCACTCCAGAAGTCCTGGCTTTGGGCCTTCACTTGACTCTTCTGTGTGACCCTGCAGGGGTCACCTTGCATGTGACCAGAGAGACCAGGCCCCTCCTAAAAGAGCAACTTCCACAAGTACCTGAGCAAGCCGAAAACTGGCGAAGTCCCTGGGGGGACCTTGGAATGCCCCATGTTGCTCTGGGTGGTGGATGGCAGGCCCTCTTGGGGGTAATCCCATGGGTACCCCTTCCTTACTGTGTGTCCTGGCCTCTCGCACATCTTAAGAGGAGGGCGGACATCTGCTAAGATGTTCTCCAGGTGAAAGGTTCTGAGTCTGGGGCGCCTGAGCCTGAGTCCTCTTCAGTTACGGCTTGTAGCCCAGGGAACCGTTGCATTCTGGGGAGGAGGGAGGAGACCCGGCGAGACCCACTCAGGACCTGCAGGGCTGGATAGAGGGACGTGTCTCATGAGCCTCCGGGGTCGGGGGTGAGACCCTGGGGTGTTCTCACCCAGGAAGCGAACCAGGGGTCCTTCTGGAGTGTGGACAGATGCACCACTGAATTTCTTTCTTGCTGAGTGGCCCCCACAGGCTCTTGGGCTGGGGGCCAAAGACCAAAGGTGCACTCTGTGAAATCTGGGACTGGGCAGAGGAGGAAAGGAAGCAGCCCCTCCCGCTCATCAACCTCCACCTGGGAGAGGATGGGGTGAAGGACAAGCAGGGTCCTGGGTCTCTGACCGTTCTCACTTTGTTTCCAGCCACCCCACAACTTGGTTCTCTAGGCCTCCATTTATTTCCTCATCAGTAAAAGGAGGCCATAATTCTTGTCTGGTTTCCCCGTGGAGTTTCCTAAGAGTTCGATGAACCCAAGGACGTGAAAGGTGTTATGCAAATGAGAGACATTATGAGTTATCTACTGGGAGGCTTGGATCCCGAGCCAGGCTCCTTCTCCGGGAAAGAGGCCGCCAGTTTCCCTGCGCAGCATCGCAGCATATGGGGCGCGCAGTGATTTACCCAAACAGCAGCCATGCTGCCAGGGCTGGTGAGACGTGGTCATTCACAAGGCAGCCTGCTGTGCGTCACTGCAGTTAAGCTTGTCTGCTGGTTCCCTGTTTCCCCCCAAGGCAGGGGGCACCTTTGTGTGGAAGATTCCTGGGACTCGAGGGTGCCTTCTGCTTCCTTACATGTAGAATAGCAGTGGACTGGGGGGCCTCGAACGCCGAGGCTCTGGGATAGATGGCCAACTGTGGCCGCAGCAGCCTGCTGGTCACAGGTCCTTGGCAATGTGACTTTGCCTTTTCCCAAAGGTGGAGTTTAATTTCCCAACCATAGAATCTGGGCTGCCCTTGTGACCTGGATGGGCCGATAGACTGCATGGAAGTGACGTTATGTCCAAGTTCAAGGCTGGGCCTCCTGAGACCTTGCAGCTTCTCCCTTCACCCTCTTCGGTTGCTCCCAAGTCGCCATGAAGGGATGTGACACAGCGTATTGGAGGAGAAGCAAAGCCCCCCAGAAAGCAGCCAGGCCAACCGCTGACATACGCATGGGGCCATCGAGGGTCCTCCAGGCTCACCAACATTCCAGCTGAGCCCAGGAAAGATCAGCCAGGAACCCCAGCCCACTCACAGTGCCCTAAGAGAGGAGAAATCATTGCTCTCTGTTTTGCACTGGCTTGTTACATAGAATAGGCTAACTGAAGCCAGAGAAGGGAAGGGACTTACCCAAAGTCCCACAGACGGCAGGGACCAAGGCTGTCTTGGTCAAGTCTGTGACCAGGCTTCCCGGCCCCTGTGCCCTTCGCACCAGTGCTGTGTGCATCTGCTGAGGGAGGTGCTCATTGGGTGGGCCCTTCCCACTTCCACCTGAGTTAGCAAGGGTTGGCTGACATCCACACAGGGCTGAGGGAGGGGTGATTAATCCCATTCTGCAGATGATGAAACTGAGGCCAAGAGCTGACAGTCACATAGCTACTAAAGAACAGCTCTGACATCAAAGCTTTTGGTTCTTTGATGCCAACTCCAGATCCTTCTGTTGACGGGTGGGAAGGCGAATGGCAGGTGATAGAGTTCCCTCCAAGGGTCAGTCTCTCAGAAATGGCCAGATACACAGGCACACACACTACACAGGCAGACACACAACACACACAGGCACAATTACACGTGTGCTCGCTCGCCCTTTCTCTCCTTCTCACCCCTCCATCTTCAACCAGTTTACTCCTACTAGCATATAATTTATTAAAAATATATAGTTACAGCCAGGCGTGGTGGCTCACACCTGTAATCCCAGCACTTTGGGAATCTGAGGCACATGGATCAGCTGAGGTCAGGAGTTTGAGACTAGCCTGGCCAACCTGGTGAAACTCCATCTCTACTGAAAATACAAAATTAGCTGAGTATGGTGGCACATGCCTGTAATCCCAGCTACTCAGGAGGCTGAGGCAGGAGAATCGCTTCAACCCAGGAGGCAGAGGTTGCAGTAAGCTGAGATAGCCCCATTGCACTCCATCTGGGGCGACAGAGCGAGACTCCATCTCACAACAACACACACACACACACACACACACACACACACAGAGTTACAAACTCCATTGTCAATCTGGGCGCCCCTGTGCCCGGAGGGACTGCAGGGAGAGAGGGAGGGACGGTCCCTCATCCCGCCCCTCGAGGTCCCACCTGTGCACTCAAACCCAACACCATCCAAATCAGAGGTGGTTGGCTCTGAGGGCCTCTAGGGGCCAGCCAGCTGAGCAGGGGACAGGGCCAGGCTTGACGGGCGGGGTGGGGAGGAGTGCTCAGGGAGGGACTGCATCTCCTTGTCCTGCAGGTAAAAACAGCAGAAGATGATTTTGGTGTCTCCATTTATAGATATTTACAAAAGAAAGTCATGAGCAACAGGCCACAGTCATGCAAAAGAAACGCACCCCCCTCCCCCCCTCCCAAAACTCACCCCCTGCCCGCCCTGAAACCCAGAGATGTCCCTCACCCAGCGGTCCAGCCACCTTCCCCAAGGTTCTGAGAGCAAAGAGGGCACGTCCGTGAAGAGTCAGTGGGGGAAGAGTGGTGGATCCGGGACCCAGAGCCACCAGGAGTAGGCACTGGGGGAACTCAGGCTGACGGGGCCGAGCTCTTCCCAGGCCTGGGTGCTAGAGTCAGGAGGAAGGGGTCCCCCAGTCTTTGAAACCCCATCTTCCTCCAGAAGGTCCAGGGAGCCAGGGTCAGCTCTGTCCTGAGTGTGGAGGGGGTGTCCTGGCATCCCACCCCCGGCAGAGGCTCTTGCGGGCAGTGGCGTGGCTGGGCCTGGAGGTCAGATGGCAGACTCCCTGCGGTAGGAGATGTTGTCCAGTGGGAGGGAGGCCTGCATGCGCTCCAGGTCCAGGTGGCTGCCCAACTCCAGCATCCGGATGATGCCCGCCTCCTCCTTGGAGCCCGCCTCCAGGCCCAGGCCCGCGGCCACCACAGCCGCTGCAGCCGCCTCCTCCTCCATCTCCTCTTCCTCCTGGCTCATGAGGGCCAGCTCGTTCTCGTAGCAGAAGGCACTGGGAGGGGGTGGCGGGGCGGGCAGCACGGTGATCTTACTCTCCTGCAGCTCCCGGGCCGAGCAGCAGGGCGTGCCAGCCACCTCGTAGGTCTTGTGAAAACGTGAGTAGTCCACCTTGTAGTGGCTCTTCTCCTCGAAGACCACGGGCTCAAAGCGGTGGCCCCACAGGATCTCGCTGGCCAGGTAGGAGCTGCGGGCCTGGGTGGTCATGGCCGTGGCCTCCACCATGCCCTCCAGGATGACCACAATCTCGAAGTCCTCGGACTCCAGCTCCTCCTTGCCCATGCCGTAGAGCGGGCTGTCCTCGTCGATCTCGTGGACGATGATGATGGGTGACACCAGGAAGATGCGGTCCAGGCCAATGTCATAGCCCACGTTGAGGTCCCGCTGGTCCAGGGGAAGGTACTCGCCCTCCTGGGTCATGTAGGGCTTGATGAGCTGGGCCCGCACATGGGCCTCCACGATGTGGCTCTTGCGCAGGTTGCCCACGCGCCACATGAGGCAGAGCTTGCCGTCGCGCACCGAGATGACCGCGTGGTGGCTGAACAGCAACGTCTGCGCCCGCTTCTTGGGGCGCGCCATCTTGGCCATGATGGTGCCAATCATGAAGGAGTCGATGACGCAGCCCACGATGGACTGGACCACCACGGCGATAACCGCCAGCGGACACTCCTCCGTCACGCACCGGAACCCGTAGCCGATGGTCGTCTGTGTCTCCACGGAGAACAGGAAGGCACCCAGGAAGCCATTCACATGCATGATGCAGGGCTTGGGGGCTGCTGGGGCCGCCCCGCTGCCACCCGCCGGGCCCCCCGCCGCGGGCACCCCTGGACTGGCCTCCAGGTCACCGTGGAAGAAGGCGATGCACCAGAAGAGGAGACCAAAAAAGAGCCAGGAGACGAGGAAGGCCGCGGAGAAGATCATGAGCATGTAGCGCCAGCGTGTGTCCACGCAGGTGGTGAAGATGTCCGCCATGTAGCGCTGCGACTTGTTGCTCAAGTTGGCAAAGTACACGTTGCATTGGCCGTTCTTCTTGACGAAGCGGTTGCGGCGTTTCCGCCGGGGCACGTGGGCCTGGCCGTTGCGGCTGTGTCCGTGCATGTCCTGAAGCCGGCGTGGTCACCTGGGAAGACGCAGGGCCTGTGGAGGAGAAGCCGGACTGGTGAGACACTGGGGAGCGAGGGGCCCCCACGGGGCCACCCAGACTCAGCTCCAAGATGCTCAGAAGCAGGTGTGCCTGGACCAGGACCGAAGACTTCCTCTGCCCCCGCAGGTGGAGGATGGCAGTGGAGGTGATTCTGATGACAGGATCTGAGCCAGTGCCCCCGAGCCTGGCCCAGCTTCGAGATTGGGGTCCACAGACCAGGAAGCTAAAGCCATAGGATCCAGGTTCTAATCCCTGCCCCTCAACACTGTCCCTCCAGCCTTCCTATGCTCACTGTTCTAGAAGCTTCCTGATGCCTATCTTGGTTCTCCCTGTCCCTCTGTCCTGCTTGCCCTGAGCATAGGGAGCTGCAGAGGCTCTGGGCCTGCTCCCCTCCCTAGATTCCATCTCTGCACTTTTTGACTTCTCCGGGGCTAAACTTCCTCCTGTGCAATAGCTGCTGGCCACCTGTGGCTCTTTACATTTAATTAAAACTAAAGAGGCAGGGCATGGTGGCTCACACGCGTAATCCCAGCACTTTGGGAGGCCAAGGCAGGTGAATCACCTGAGGTCAGGAGTTCGAGACCAGCCTGACCAACATGGTAAAATGCTGTCTCTACTAAAAATACAAAAATTAGCCGGGTGTGGTAGCTCAAGCCTGTAATCCCAGCTACTCAAGAGGCTGAGGCAGAGAGTTGCTTGGGAACCTGGGAGGCAGAGGTTGTGGTGAGCCAAGATCGTGCCACAGTACTCCATCCTGGGTGGCAGAGTGTGACTCTATTAAAGAAAAAAAAAGCCGGGCGCGGTGGCTCAAGCCTGTAATCCCAGCACTTTGGGAGGCTGAGGCGGGTGGATCACGAGGTTAAGAGATCAAGACCATCCTGGTCAACATAGTGAAACCCCGTCTCTACTAAAAATACAAAAAATTAGCTGGGCATGGTGGCGCGTGCCTGTAATCCCAGCTACTCGGGAGGGTGAGGCAGGAGAATTGCCTGAACCCAGGAGGCGGAGGTTGCAGTGAGCCGAGATCGCACCATTGCACTCCAACCTGGGTAACAAGAGCGAAACTCCGTCACAAAAAAAAAAAAAAAAAAAAAAAAAAAAACCTAAATAAAATGTTACTGCAGCTCCTTCCTTGCACGAGCCACATTTCAAGTGATCAGGAGCCACATGTGGTCAATGGCCACCACACTGGACAGAGAAGACAGGAGATTTCTGTCACTCAGAAATTTCTGGCTGTGCACAGGGGCTCACGTGTGTGATCCCAGCACTTGGGGAGGCTGAGATGCCAGGATCCTTTGGGCCCAGGAGTTTGAGACCAGCCTGGGCAACAGAGTGAGACCCCATCTCTACAAACAATAAGAAAATTAGCCAGGCGTGGAGGTGCATGCCTGTGTTCCCAGCTAGTCAGGTGACTGAGGCGGGAGGATCTATTGAGCCCAGGGAGTCAAGGCTGCAGTGAGCTGTGATCGCGCCACTGCACTCCAGCCTGGGCCACAGAGCCAGACCCCATCTCAAAAAAAAAAAAGGAAAGTTCTACTGGGACCTGCAGCCCCACCTGGGTATGAACTCCTTTCTTAGACTCTTCTCTCCCAGAGTTGCTTTGAGTCCTTCAGCCCAAATTCCTGTCCAGGGCCCCAACCTGTTGGGAGCAGCAGTTGGGGAAGAATCCAACGTGACAGTCAGGATGGAGGACGGGGGAGCCCCCATCTTCAACTCCTCTGTAGACATCAATATTCCCATGTCCCAGGTGACCTACCCAAGGCCACGAAGCTGACCGTGGATGTGAAGTCACGTGGTACCAACATTGATGAGTGGATGGTGGGGAGACAGGAAGTGGGAGGGGAGGACAGACATCAGGAAACTCTGTTCACCTCGGTCAGCCTCAATGCCCTCATCTTTAACATGGGGACCAAAACTCCCTACCTCATGGGACCTATGGGGACAGTGGGCTCTGGGTTAAAGCCACCACCCTCCTGCTTTCCTTCCCACACCCCCCAGGAGCTGGTGACAGACAGGGCTTGCCTGTCAAGCATCCCCAGCTGTTGCAGCAGAGGGGGCCTCTCCCTCCACTGGGTGGCGGGATGTGCACAGGACCCGTAGAGGACAGATCCTCTCTCCGCCCCTCCCAGCCGTTGGGTCCCCAGGGAAGACACAGTCCTGCCCCGGGCGCCAGCAGCTGGCCGGGCCAGGACCGGGCCTGGGTTCCCAATAACATTTTGGCCCAGAATTACATAAGGCTGGAATTTCTATTTTCTGTTCTATTCTTCTTCCTGATCTAATTGTGCATCTGTGGCAATGTTTATACACTTCCCCGGTTCAGGACAACTCGGTTGCCGCAGCAACTGGTACGCGCCAACGCTGTAATTTAGAGATCAACAGCCTCAGAACCCGCCTCTTTCCCAGAGAAACTCCCTCTCCCGGCCCCCACCCCCTCCCCCGCAGTCACCCACCCTGACTCCCCTGGTTCCCAAAGAGCTCCCCGGCTCCTGCAGTCCAGGGTTGAAGCCCCAGATTCACTGTGAGACTTGGGCAAGCTATTGACTACTCTGAACCTGTCTCCTCATCTCGAAAATGGGGCTGGCTGGGCACAGTGGCTCACGCCTGTAATCCCAGCACTTTGGGAGGCCAAGGCAGGTGGATCACCTGAGGTCAGGAGTTCGAAACCAGCCTGGCCAACATGGTGAAACCCCATTTCTACCAAAAATACAAAAATTAGCCAGGCATGGTGGCACACGCCTGTAATCCCAGTTACTAGGGAGGCTGAGGCAGGAGGATTGCTTGAACCTGGGAGGTAGAAGTGGAGTGAGCCAAGATCGTGCCAGCTGCACTCCAGCCTGGGTGACAGAGTGAGACTCCATCTCCAAAAAAAAAAAAGAAAAGAAAATGGGGCCAATGAGATATGCTGGAGACATGCAGGGTCACACAAGTGTGGGCTCTAACTCGATGCTGGCTCTTCACAGCTGGGAGGCCCACACCCTCCATGCCCCTCCCGCAGCATCCCAGCAGCCAGGGCTCCAGGGGGAAACCCTGGGGTCTGGGGCCATGAGCACCTTCTGCTCTGTAAATAGTTTTCAGGGAGGCCTTACTTGGCTGAACATCTTCCCCCGTTCTTTTCCACTGCTTGAAATGCCTTGAGGACTGTCAGGGCAGGAGCATCAGGTCCCCGAGTTCAGGACCCTCATTTTATGTCTGAGGCCCAGGACATCCGGAGATAGGAAGGACTCGCTAAGAGTCCCAGAGCGGGGCCAGATGGGCCCCTGAGCAAGGCCTCCTCACCCACTTCACCCTGAGAGCTCCTCATCCACTTCCTCCTTGGAGGGGTCTGGGGTGGGTTTTGGGGCAAGAGAAGAGAAGAAACCAGCCAGTCCAAACTGGACCACTATCCACAGGTGTGCAAGAGAGAGGCAGAGGGCACAGGGTGTGACAGCCCGGGGCTTTGATGGGTGAGATCACTGAGCTCTAGAGAGGGCAGGGGGCCTTGCCCAAGGCCAAACACAAGCCCAGGGTTCCAGGGGATCCCTGGTTCTCTGCCCGGAGGAATTGGCTCCTGACCTAGTGGGTTCACCTGGTGTTGCCGGCAAGGGAGCCGATCCCCTGATGGCCACCGAGATTGGGCGTCCCCTCGCCAACAGGGCCCACTCCTCCCCATTAGCGAGTGCCCAGGGTCAACCCTGAGCTTCCACAATCCCCGGCCCCCACCAGCCCACTGGGCTCCACAGTGCAGCCTGATGGGGACATAGTTTACCCCTCACCCTGGCACCTTCCCCAGAGCCCACAGCAGGTGTCCTGAGCCCTTGCTGTGTGCTGGGCCCTGTCTGGGGTTCCCAGTGCTCCCAGCACATCCTGGAGCTTAGCAGGAAAGCTGCCTCCCTGGCACTCCTCAGACCTGGCACCCTTCCCCATGGAGCAGCCCCTGTGACACCCGATCCCCCTGAAGGTCCTTGGTCTGCAGTGACCTGCTCAAATACGTACACGCTGCTACCAGCACAGACGGTTTTAGGAGTGAGAGGTTCAGCTACTATTCAAGACTGACCCATGCAAGGCCTGGCAAAAAAGTGAAAAGTGGCCGGGCTTGGTGGCTCATGCTTGTAATCCCAGTACTTTGGGAGGCCAAGGCAGGTGGATCACCTGAGGTCAGGAGTTCGACACCAACCTGGCCAACAAGGTGAAACCCCATCTCTACTAAAAATACAAAAAAAATTGCCGGGCATGGCGGCGGGTGCCTGTAATCCGGCTACCTCAGGAGGCTGAGGCAGGAGAATCGCTTGAACCTGGGAGGTGGAGGTTGCAGTGAGCCAAGATTGCACCACTGCACTCCAGCCTGGTGACAGAGCTAGACTCCATTGGAAGGAAGGAAGAAGGAAGGAAGGAAGGAAGGAGGGAGGGAGGGAGGGAGGGAGGGAGGGAGGGAGGGAGGGAGGGAAGGAAGGAAAAAGAAAAGAAAGAGAAAGAGAGCCTTGGTTGTTTATATGTCTGTTTTATCCCTTTGTGGATGCAGGGAACTGATCTAATTTGCTTGCATGGAATGTGCACTAGGAGAATGCAGTTTCAGGCATGTTTCCTATGATGGAGGCACTGGGACGTGGAGAGGCCCTCTGTCACTGCCCTGGCATATGACCTTGAACAAGTTCTTCCACTCCCTGGGTCCGTTCCTCCTATAGTTAAGGGACTACTCACCCTGCCCAGCTTTTTGGTAAGTCACAGAGCTTGGCATAAATGATAAAACAAAAGGGACTGGTGAGGTAGGGCCTGGGGTTTCCCAAACCCCCAGTACGGGCCACTAGCCCATGGCAAAATAAGCCAAAGGAGGATCAATGGGCTGAGCCTGGTGGCTCACACCTGTAATGCCAGCACCTTGGGAGGCTGAGGTGGGCAGATTTCTTGAGGCCAGGAGTTCAAGACCAGCTTGGACAACATGGCAAAATCCTGAGTCTACAAAAAATACAAAAAAATTAGCCAGGCATGGTGGCACACGCCTGTAATCCCAGCCTCT